AATTTTTAAAAAAAAAAAAAAAAAAAAAAAAAAAAAAAGAGTAAAAAGTACGAGAAAAGTTGAAGGAGTTTCTTAAGCCTTTTTTTTTTTGTAGTACTTATCATTCAATCAATTGTTATTTGATTATAAATGCATTTTGTGGTAATAAGATATTGCACTACAAAAAGCAATCGAAATTTTTCATGATGCCATCTCATGTTGACGCATGTTCTTCAGGATAGTGGCGTATGCAATACTGAATGCTGGTTGTTACCTTATTTCAGGTAACATGTGTCACAGATTACTATTGCTTGTCATCTGCATATCCAGTTTTCATGATGGAGTTGCCTTAGCAACGGTGGTTCAGCGTCGTCTAGTTTTGCCCATGAGAGAGCAGGCTCAGTCACCTAGTAGTGTGGTCTTCGATCCCATAGAGATATCACCTGCAGTTATCCCACAATACCCTTACCCAAATGAATCTCTACCTCCAATGTATCCAACTTTTCCTACCAGATATGAACCAGTTTTAACGGGGAGATGCCCTGTAAATTTTTCTGTTATATCAAATGTTATGGACAAAACAGCATCAGATTGTTCTCAGCCTATGGCAGCACTTGTAGGGAATGCTATTTGCTGTCCACAGCTAAGTAGCCTGCTCCATATCTTCCAGGGTTTCTACGGCTTAACGTCCGAACAGTTGGTTCTGCAAGAGGCAGTTGCTAATGATTGTTTTTCAGATATCATTAGTATCTTAGCCAGCAGAGGAGCTAATCAGACAATACCCTCTCTTTGCTCCGTCAAATCTTCAAATCTCACTGGCGGGTCATGTCCAGTGACAGACGTTGCGACGTTTGAAAAATTAGTTAACGTAAGCAAATTATTGGATGCGTGTGATACTGTTGATCCTCTCAAGGAGTGTTGTAGACCAATATGTCAGCCTGCTATCATGGAGGCTGCACTTCAGATATCTGGAGGGCAAATTTCTACTGATACAAGTAGTAATGTAGCAGCGCAGCCTAATCATATTGACTCGATAAATGATTGTAAAAGGGTTGTTTATTCATATATTTCCAGGAAACTCTCCTCAGATGCTGCCAACACTGCATTTCGAATATTATCTTCCTGCAAAGTTAACAAAGGTTTGATGCTTATCAGTGTTTTCTATTTGATCTTTATATCTTCACTAGAGTGCTTATACATAAATATTCATACCAAAATACGACTTTTAAGTATGCGAATTCCGTTTTAGCAAAGATTTGAATTTCTTGTGGTTAAACTAAATTGGGGAACAGCGTTCGTTACCTTTTAGATACATTATTTTGGTTGCACAATTATTCCTTTTATTGTTCTTAAGGTCTTCTTGAAGGAAAGAAGAAAAATAAAGAGAACCTAATTAGAACACGAACCTGAATAATTATAACGGACATCCATAAAGCAAGACGTACGAGTCTTTGGGTTCAGCTGATTGACCATTTTTCTCAGTCTTCTTCCCCTTTCCTACTAACAGACTGTGCTTGTCAAACTTATGAACTATTACCTTTTACCTTTCCTTATTCCTACTCCATGCTTTCTAACTTGAAATGAGTGTTGTCTGTGCAGCTTGTCCTTTGGATTTTGAGCAGCCTTCAGAAGTAATTAAAGATTGCCGCAACGTTGCTGCTCCGAGTCCTGCATGCTGCAAGTCATTGAATTCTTACATTGCGGGGATCCAAAAGCAGATGTTAATTACCAATAAACAAGCTATAATCTGTGCAACAATGTTCGGATCCATGTTGCGAAAAGGTGGGGTTATGACGAATGTTTATGAGCTGTGTGATGTCGACTTGAAAGATTTCAGCATTCAAGGTAATAATGCTACTGCATTGTTAGTCAGATTTTCCTCCGTTGTAACTGTTTCATCTTGTCTAACATTCCAATTTATTTATGTGCATCTGCGTGGAATCGAAATGCAGCCTATGGACAGCAAGGTTCGCTCTTCTTCTCCGTTTCGAAGCTTTTTTCTTCTTATTCAAGTGATTGATCCTTGCTCTATCTTCCTCTATCAAAGAACCTATGAGTAATGTTTAGTGCAACTTGTTGGTACTTGGAAGATATTTCCAAGTAACATTTGAGAGATTGAAAGACACAAAAAGAATTTAATGTCGGAGAATTTAGATTGTCGTTCAACGCATTTCAATGGAGTCTTGCTATCGTCTTTTCGTTTTCTTTTTCAGCGATGAAGAATTAGTATTACAGAAACATGTGTTGAAAATTTCTGAGTTGCATTATTTTCCAAATTTTAGGATGTCTTCTTCGGAGCCTGCCTTCAGATCTGATATTTGACAAATCAACAGGCTTTAGTTTCACTTGTGATTTGACCGATAACATTGCAGCACCATGGCCTTCATCGTCCTCAATTTCGTCGTTGTCTCTTTGTGCCCCTGGTAATTGATCGAAAAAGTTACTTACAAAATTTCGACGTAAGATTTTGATTGGTCGATAAGTTTGACGATGTCTTTGCCTTGTATTGTATTTGCACAGAGATGTCATTGCCTGCTCTACCAACATCTGAGACTAAGAGAAACAATGGTGGTATGTTTTGTGTTTTGTTTGTTGGCTTACATTTGAAGCAATGGTCGAGTTTGTGTTGATGTGAAATGATATTGATTTGCAGGCCAGCGAGAGGAAGGATTGGATTTCCCAATGCCCATTTTTTTTTTTTTATTATGGTCACTGCATTTTTGTACTGAGTTAGATTTTTAGATGAGATGATGTTCTTTGGTGTTCTTATGTGGGAGTTGGGGGGTAAGCCATCTTCGGGAATTTCACAGTGGATTTTTGTATGTATATTTTCAGTCTTTGTATAGTAGTATCTCTTTTTTTTTTTTTTTACTCTCTCTCTCTCTCTCTCTCTCTCTCTCTCTCTCTCTCTCTCTATCTCTCTCTCTCTCTCTCTCTCTCTCTCTCTCTCTCTCTCTCTCTCTCTCTCTCTCTCTCTCTCTCTCTCTCTCTCTCTCTCTCTCTCTCTCTCTCTCTCTCTCTCTCTCTCTCTCTCTCTCTCTCTCTCTCTCTCTCTCTCTCTCTCTCTCTCTCTCTCTCTCTCTCTCTCTCTCTCTCTCTCTCTCTCTCTCTCTCTCTCTCTCTCTCTCTCTCTCTCTCTCTCTCTCTCTCTCTCTCTCTCTCTCTCTCTCTCTCTCTCTCTCTCTCTCTCTCTCTCTCTCTCTCTCTCTCTCTCTCTCTCTCTCTCTCTCTCTCTCTCTCTCTCTCTCTCTCTCTCTCTCTCTCTCTCTCTCTCTCTCTCTCTCTCTCTCTCTCTCTCTCTCTCTCTCTCTCTCTCTCTCTCTCTCTCTCTCTCTCTCTCTCTCTCTCTCTCTCTCTCTCTCTCTCTCTCTCTCTCTCTATATCTGATATATATATACACGCACGCACTAGAGGAGGTGTATATGGGTGTTAACTCTCGGGGGGACGGCTCGGTGATTTATTGCATTGTCTGAGGGTCGTTTCAGTTTGCAGGATTGCTTTGATCCGTTACACATCAGCTCCCTCGAAGATAGACTTGTTCTCTCAAAGCGATCTTGAATGAGAAACTCCATGCTGTTTTTCTTTGAGCAAGAATCACAGCATTACCTTACCTTGCAAGGAGAATGGATTGCGATGAATAGATACGAAGGGGCTTGGCATTTCACTCTTTGTTGTGGGGTTGTCACGGATTGGCGCCTTTGCAACAGAAGTTCGTCGAGGAGCCGAGTGACATGCTGCCCCTAACTTAGGTTGAGACCTTTTGAGATTCTTCATAAAATCAAGATTTGGGTTCAAGCAAAATCAAATTGGCCTAGTCTTATTGTACATATATTCATGTTTGTTTTCGACATAGTCTTATTGTACATATATTCATGTTTGTTTTCGACAAAGTGTCAAAAAAATTCTACATATGTATTATATCAATAAGACCAGGCACGACATATCATTAAGCTCATTAAAATGGATTATGAACATCAAATAAGTTCTCTTTTTTATAATTTTTAGTCACTATTTATAATTTTGGTTAGTATATAAACATATTATTGAAATTTGAAGAACAAAACGTGTAAAATAAACACAAACATTTAATCATAAGACGTCAATTAAAGAGGAAAGAAGAGATTTCAAACATGCTCACTCTCCACAAGTCATTTTTTTTCCTCTGTTTTATTCATCATCAATCATCCATCACGCACAAATAATAATGCTAAACTGAACCAGTAAAACTAACTTGTATTCCAGATCAAAGACAGCTTAGTTCACAATTTCATATTATGGTATTTCTCAGACTCCAGAACGAAGAACGAAGAATGCAACCGAAGCCATGGCAGAGGCAGGGATCTCTGCTGAATCTTCCTGCTATTACAGGCTAGGGATCACCTCAGTTCTCTGTCCTGTTAAGATCTTCCATGTATTGTAATAATCGAAAAGCTGCAGAGATGGCAATTTCTTGAAGATATTTACTAATTATAAAGCCTTGAGGAAGGAGAAAAATGAAGCTTAGTTACCTTCAAATATCAAGCAACTCTGTTCGTTTACTGGGAACCATTCCCCCAAACATTATCCCACGGAACATCAGGAGAGGCCTTCGGTCCCTCGATCGAGTTCTGGCCTTGATGAGGATGGGGGGCTCCAGGAAGAGGAAGCCCATCAGGACCCACATTTTGAACCTTCCTAGGTTTTGTTTTAATCCCAAGCAGTCTCAAGACGAATCTAGCAAGCTCTCCATATAACATACCAGAGCGGTCGAAAAGCTGTCACAGGAATAAAATAGGGAGTAGATGTTAAGTTCTTTATGAAAAATTGATATATCTACACCATCTATAGCTCAAGGTAGCAGCTAGCTAATTACAAGTAATTACACTACTGCTGACATTTTGGCTGATTGGAGGGGGTTTCTTGCAGCCTCCTTTTGCAAGTGGCTTTCTTCCCCCTCTCTTTGCTATATTCCACTGATCTCATAAAATGTTGAGTTTGATATCCAAAGCAAAAAGGTTCCTTAACCAAAAAAAAAAAAAAAAAAAACGGTGTCGTGAAAGACAGCAGCCAGAGAGCTTAAGCTACCACAGTGTTTCTTCTGTTCGGGCCTTGTTTCGGATCTTGGAAGGGAAAAAAGAAAAAGAAAAATCATGTAATCCGCAACATGGTAATATCCAGAAGGTTTTTATGTAACAGCCCAAGCACACCGCTAGCAGATATTGTCCTCTTTGGATTTTTCCTTTCGGGCTTCCCCTCAAGGTTTTTAAAACGCATCTGCTAGAGAAATGTTTTCACACCCTCATAAAAAATGTTTCGTTCTCCTCCCCAATCGATGTGGGATCTCACAATCCACCCCCCTTCGGGGCCCAACATCCACGCTGGCACTCGTTCCCTTCTCCAATTGATGTGGAACTCCCAATCCACCCCCCTTCGGGACCTAGTGCCCCTTGATAGCACACTGCCTCGTGTCCACCCCCTTCGAGGCTCAGTCTCCTCACTAGTACATCCCCCAATGTCTGGCTCTGATACCATTTGTAACAGCCCAAGCCCACCACTAGCAGATATTGTCCTCTTTGGGCTTTTCCTTTTGGGTTTTCCCTCAAGGTTTTTAAAACGCGTCAGCTAGGGAGAGGTTTCCACACCCTTATATAAAGAATGCTTCTTTCTCCTCCCCAACGGATGCAGGATCTCACATTTTATGTGTGACAACCACAAGAAACTAGAAACTATAAGACGGCTTGCTACTGCAGCTTCTTGTGTTCCATCTTTCTTTATTATGGGTGGACTTAAATACCAGTTTTGACTTTCATGTTTCGACTTCGAAATTTGAACATCTACCATCACTGTAGATTTAAATTCCAGTTTTCACTTTCATGATGAAACATCTACCATTAATGTTGCTATCATGATCTTTACGTTTTAAGTTGGTGGATCCTTAAATAGGATTCATTCTTTCTCTACAAGGAACAAAAAAATGATTCATTCTTGTTGGTAGTCAGCACAATCTACAAAACATTTATAAAGTAAGGGTAGTAAGTCAAAAGGCACATGCACACCTGAAGTAGTGCAGTCATGAACATATGGAATGCCTGTGTGTTCTGGTCAATAAGAATAGATATTCGACCAAAGAAGTTCACGACACCATGCATCTGCACAGAAATAAAAAAGGCGAGACTTCAGGAGTCGAAACACGAACCTCAGGTACTTGCAATCAGAAATATGAAATACATCCAGAAAAGGACCAGATTATAGAATATGGGAACGTCTTTATTTCAAATACATATTATCCTCGTGAAGAAGCGAGGATATACAGAAATTTTCATTTCAAGTCATCGAAAAAAGTTAAGAAATAATTAGTAAAAAATAAACGCTTTCAGAAGAATTATAAGAAAATCATATTTGGAAAAACAGTATTGCCGTGTACAAAAACGATCCATGGCTTCGTTTGAAACTAAGCATTCTGTCAACTTGACAAAAACGAACATACGAAGGTAATAAACATCAGAACAACCAAAAATGGATGAATAATGGTGACGATAACAGAGAGAAGTAAATCACGTACCACTCGCAGAAATGACATCCAAAATCCTGGAGGAGATGAGGGAGGACCGTACGGGTCATTTGGATCTTGACCACCATAAGGACCACCCATCCCCATTCCATAGCCACCCATCGGACCTCCAAGGCCGCCACTGTTATACATTCCACCTCCATACATACCGCCACTTCCGTACATACCAGAAGATCCATAAAGCCCACCATAACCTCCTCTATACATGCTGTTGTTTCCATACATTCCACCACCATACATTCCTCCACCATAAGAAGACGAACCATACATTCCAGAACCGTAGAGAGAATTATTCATAGTTGAACCATAAGCTGCATTAACAAAAACACGATATAACCTCAGCTTCCGAGGAAGAATATCACATGGGAAAGCAAACATCAGTAGCAAAGAGGCGAAAAAATTTAAATCATAACCTCCTCCTCCTCCATAGCTGGTATTCCCATAGTTTTGCTCCCAAGGCCTTGTTGGAACAGGCCTGCCAAGTGAGTTCCTATTAATAGCAGCAGTACTATCAGAACTAGAAACAATTTCCCCAGGTTTTGCAGTCCCCGAAGCCTCTACAACGTCGCTTGTATTGCCAGCTGATGGGGGTCTAAAAGGTGCTGGACCTGATGATCCCCCTACTCGTTCCCAGGGTTTCGGGGGAGGATTAGAAGCTGCAATAATCAAAAGAACGGTATAAAACAAAATTAACTGATAAGCGAAACAGCTCCCATTACAGACCAAGATAATTTCCCCCCGTCCCTTAGCGTGTTGATTGATTCATATCATAATCTTGAACATTAAGCCGAGGCGGAATCGTCTACATAAACACTAGAAATCCATCAACAGTTCATCCAATCTCATCTGTTTACAGAGCCAACGGTATGAACACAATCTAGCACAACCTAATTCATTCATCCATTGAAATCAATGCAGCGCAAAGATCAAAACAGTGCACCCACATATCACAAAACCAGACACCTTCAAGAACGCTAAACTGGATACAAGATTGGTCACACCACTCAACTTTTCGGATTTTAAACCAACAAGAAAATACAAACCTAATACAAACAAAGAGAAGCAGCGAAAACACAATCTAAACGAGAGTTTTATCACCCAAGAACAAAAGGGTATGCGATTAAAACGCTGAACTCTCTTTCGTGAACCCAATTAGCCAAAGAAAATCCATCAAATTCCAAGACCCAATATATAATCCACAAGAAATCAAGAGTCCAAGCAGAGAAAACAATAACCACAAGCCGACCTCAAAGACTCCAATAATGGTAATGATGGGAACAAAAAAAAAAGGAGGGAGATAGGGATGAATCTCGCAAACCTGCAGGCTGAGGCTTAGAATCCATAGAAATCGGTGAGAAATTGCATCAGAAACGGGGAGAGATCTTCTCTCAAGGGGTCTGGAACAGCAAAAAAGGAAAAAATGTCAGCTTATGGGCAATTTTTGTTGCTGAGAAGGATCCATATCCAATTCCAAGTCGGTCTCATCCTCCGAATTCCCTCTTTTTCTAATCTTTTTTTTTGTTTTTTTCCTTTTTTAAGTTCGGAAGATTCAATTATTTCAAAATTTTGCAACAAATATTTTCATTTTTGTATCTCATTTTTTAGAAAGCATTTTTAAAATTATGTAAAAATAATTTGGAAAACAATAAAATATACATAAGAAATTTTAAATTTTTTAGATATCTAATAACCATTTAGTTGTGAAAAAAAAAGAAGCAAATTTTGATAACTAAAAAAATTGATTTAAGAATTTAATTATTTAAAAATAAATAAATAACCCTCGTAAAAACATTAAAAAGAAACGCGCATAAATTTATCAAACAAAAATCTTAAAGCGAGAACATTATTAAATAATGCGTCATACCCCAAACTCCTACGGGAGGCACTGGGAAATTGCGCGAAAATCCGATGAAGCAATGTCATGTAGAAATAGCCGGGACAAAGAGCCGTGATTCCATGAGGGCTAACTCCAAAAGCCCGTCCTAAATTCGAAATCAATAGGAAAGGCAAATCCCTTATGATACACCACATCCAGCTCAATTGAGATTCGAATACGAGAACTTTATATTAAAGAAGTGAAATGACACTTCTGTCCTTTTTGTTTTGTTTTGTTTTGACCAGCTGCTTGAAAGTAGAAAGCATGAAGGATCCCCTGTACTACCAAGGAAAACTCCAAGAAACCAGGAGGTAACAGCTAGGAAGATTGTCTCTTTTATGTCCCCCTCATTCATTAGTAATTGAACATGACAATTAGGGTACCGATTAACGAAGAATGATCGGCAAGAATCAGTCAAATCTGCTCACCAAGATGAACAATTTTTACATTATTTTCCTTGTCCAGATACCACAGCTACCAATTCCAAACTTTATTTAGAACTTACATTACACCAAAAAAATAATCACATTGGATATAAACTAATTTCTATCACCTCTTCACTAATGTAATGCAAACATGATTACAAGATATAGCCATTTTGAAACAGGATGCTTCCTAATTCTTCATCTACAAAGCTGTTCGACTTACGAGTGAACGGCCGTGATTCTAATTCGGTATGAGTCCGTGAGCTCACCTTGACTCGACCCAAACGTTGGAGTGCTTTCAACTTTCAGAACCTTGAGAGGCCTGAAAACAGAGAAGAGATCAAAAAGTGTGGAAGAGAAAGGATGTATATGAAGATACTTTCTATGTATCGGTTCCCGATTGAGAACCGTGATGGTTTTGAGTGCAGCGGCATGATTGACCTTCCTTTCTCAGCAACTTGTTGATGGAAATACTGTAGAAACAATGGTCGAGTCTTTATCGAACTGTGGAGGTATCAAATGCTTTTCATGAACCTCCAGATAGGTAGCAGCTACTGCTGCCAGAACTGCCCACGGCACATGTGATATCGCGTACGAGAAACTTCACGTTTCTGGTGCCGATCTCGTCCATCACCTCAAGACATTCCTGCATGTCTGAATTGCTAACTAGCATCACCCATTCTTTTTCGTCATCGAGGTATTTGAGCTGGAATGTCCCCTGGTTTAATTTGAATCTCTTGCCAACTTCTTCATAGAGCTGGAGATATCCTAAAGACGGATCAAACTTGAATCGAACCGTGTCTTCTTTGTATGAAGCTTTTACAACGATCTTTGAATCACTGTCAACACAGCTAGTTTTTTCTTGCAAATGCTTCCTCTCCTCGACGCTCTGACCGCTGGACGAACTCCCGTGGATCAATAAGCCAGAGCCATTCGATGAGTCCGTCATGCTTGAAGTAGTTGGCTGGTAATGTTCATTCATTCCATCGCTGCCTTCCCACATGGTTCCCACCCCGTTGGCAGCCCCAAAAGAGCATGACCTCAAATTATTCTCAACAAAATCCAATCCGTTGCCTTTTCTAGCCGTAACACTACCTGCGGCATTCCCTGGGACATCCCAATCCATCACATCCAGGCCAGAAAGCTGGCATGATGCAGCATCTAACCCAGTGGACTTTGAACCTTCACTACAATCAAGCTGGCAAACACTGGGTTCCTTCTCAGGAATAAGAAGACTCCTCGACGAGTTTCTTTGGTCGTCCATTTCCAACTTCACGGGGGGGTTCTGACTATCGAAAGGGATAGGAGGAACTGAATTTACATCCCGAGGTAACGGCTCGAGGTTTATTATAGATGGATTGTTATCAGAGAAGAGAGGACTGTTCTGCCCATTAAGCTCTGGAATAAGAGAACCGGCTGCCATAAGACCCCCTGTAGTTGGATCAAACTTCAGTCTACACTCCACCCCCTTCACAGAATCGAGAACCGTCTGTATTTTCCCCAACGAACGGTTTACCTTGTTTATTTTACGGGAAGGCCACCTCAGAATCCCATGTTGTCTGCATATTCTTTTCAGGGTTGTTGGGCAAACTGTAAAAGCCATTGAAAATGTATAATCCATTTTAGAACGAACATACTTGAAATATTTCTTATAAATATTTTGATCTATGCAAGTCATGAGAGGATGTTAAAGGTTAATAGATTTTCATCTCTAGTTCATACTGCAACATTCTAATGTTGTTAGCAAGTACCCATCGTCCTCGATCACAATAGCTGGGGTCATTTTTTTTAGTTCTGTTCGGTCGTCCAGTGTTTATTGGTCATTGATTTTTAGTCTTTTTTTTCTATACTACGAGTTATTAATGAAACAAAAACTGAAAGAAAGAATCTGCAGGCTCACCACCAATGCTCTTCGCTGCATCCTTGAGACTCCCAGAAAAATATTGCTGAAGAACGCTAAAGCTCACGTTTTTTTCAGCTGTGCTACGTTTTTTGTCCGCCTGCCTCCGTGTACCATTAGTCGTCTGCTGGATAAGATGCATAAGAAACTGTTAAAGATAAATCCGTTACCCGTTTGTAAATGTGCACCAAGGAAAAAGGCGCAGAAAATTTCACCCGTAAATTAAATTATACGGTTCAATAGTCGAAATGGAAAATGCACCACGCAATGTGGGAGACACAACAAATTTGAAATTCAATGCCCATCTGCCACTTCAAAGTAAAGGGGGATGCAGCAGCCTTATAATACATTCCTATCCAGACAATGCCATCCATTTCAAAATCAGTCTTTTGTGCCTCTTCAGCTTACCACCTTCCTATACTCTAAATTAAGTACAGGAACAGTTATACTAAAAACAATCTAAGAACAAACGGGTGGTCATGGATAGGTGGCCAGGAAAATGAGTGATCAAAGCTCGGTAACGGCCCAAGCCCACATCTAGTAGATATTGTCCTCTTTGAGCTTTCCCTTTCGGGCTTCCCCTCAAGGTCTTTAAAACACGTATGCTAGAGAGAGTTTTCCACACCCTTATAAAGAATGCTTCGTTCTCCTCCTCAACCGAAAACCCCGCACCTCTTCCCCCCCCAAGGCACCTAACCACAGAGAATATCAAACAGCTAGGGATGGTCTAGACATTCAAGGATGTACACAGCAGATAATTTTACTGTAACAGATATACACCTTCATCCTTTTGTATAGGATTAGTGTAATAATTAAACAGACGTTTCTTGATAGGTCCAAATTATACGTACAATCAGACTGTCTGATGCAACGTTTTCCATTGAACGCCCCCAAATATCTACATTTTCTATTTAACACCAGCCATATATCTACATTAATCACGATCAATCATCGAAACTGGGTCCAATCCCTAAAATGGCCTTAACAGAACTAGGGAGACCCTAGCTGTTGCAAATTGTTTCATTGTTAAGTAAAGGCGATTTCAGATATTTTTTGTGCAATTAAACAAACAATGACCTTAAAAATGAAAGATTGAGATGTTAAAATGAGATGATTAATAAACAAAAGGCAAAATGGCACCAACAAAGGAAACAATAGAACATGGAAAAAATAAAAAATGAAATGAAATGAAATAAATAGAACGATAGAACAACAAACAGGATCACAGAAATAAAATAACCTGCTTCTTAGGGCATTCCGCTTTAGTTCCATCATTTATTGAGTTAGATACCCTTGTTTCACTGTCTGTAACCGTAGACTGTGAGTTTCTCCTGGACGTAGTTGCAGACTTACCAACCATTCCACTCTGGAATCCAGCATCAGGATCCTTGGCCCCCAATAATTCGTCCTTTGAAACTGTTCTCAAGCTCCGGCACATTCTTTGCATGGTACCAGAGAGATTGTTCAATAAAAGTTGCTGTTCTGAGCTTCCTTTCATATTGACAGGTAGAAAGAATTCGAGTATATAATCATCAGCACCAGTGTATGTGCTTCTCAGCCTGATTGCAACGGCAGCATTCAAACCAAACTTGCGTGCATGATGGACCAGCGGATACTCATTAATATTATATGCCTTCACGTCAGGATAAAAGAAGGGATGATTAGATTGAAGAGCTTTCCCAACTATCCCTTGTCCTTCTTCAAGATGATGTTCCATACACGCATGCACAAATCCTTGAGTTGCTTTGTCATTCACATAACACGCTGTTTCCTCAATGCATAATACAGATTTCCCCTTTGGGCTGACGTCGTTCTCCTTCACACGAACTCTAGCAGCCTCATCAACAGCTTGCAAGGTATAACAGCAAGGAATCCAGGTGAGTGCCAGAGGTAGCCTATGTGCATGACATACAGCGCGTAGCACATCTGTTATCTCTGCTAATACAGATCTCTGGTTCTGCTTCAAACACTGTAACAAATATTCCATTGATATCACTAAAGATGTAAAGGTGCAGATGTTAAAACTATAATTGAAAAGAAATAAAACAATATAAGTAGAAATCTTTCCTTTTTTTTTTCTATGACCACCAATGTTATCACCTTTTTCCAACAATAAGGGAACCTTTTCACTTGAGAGTATCTACATACTACTAAAAGGAAACTGCAGAAAAAACTAACATATATTGCAGCCAATATTACCTGAGGATATAGTCGAGGCGGTGCAATAGTTCTCAAGCTAACAATCTGCAACAATCATGGTCCAAAAAAATATCAGCAACAATAAATCCCTATGATATAATTACTCAAAAACTCAGAAAAGTGGACTGCTAGAAAAGTATCGCTAGACAACAGAAAATTCCATAGAAGATGAGTTGTTCGAACTGAATGAATTAGTTACAGATTATAATCATGTTCAACCTTTAGAGAAACATGTCATGTACTTATCAACGAGCTCTCATACCTATCCTTACTGAAATGCTTATGCATATTGGCATGATATGCGTCCGTATAAACTTTAAGATGACAAAGGAAAATATTACCTTACCTAGCGGTAGAAAACTTCGTCATAAAAAAGAACAAGAAGAAACGAAAAGAAACCACGTGATAAAAACTTGAAACACTACCTCAAGGTTCACATGATATTTATTAATGAAGTTTATAAATTTATAATTTTTTTAAAAATATAAGCCAAAAAATAGCAAAAAAACAGTTCTAAGTTTCATGCTGGATGGAGGTCAAACCCCAAATTGAATAATCAGAAACCAAAAAATCTGTCAATTCCCTTCAATTTAATAGAAAGGATGGTGCATTGTACTTCATACTCTTCACCACCAAGAAGGTTTTTTTTAAATAAGAATTGATCCCCAAGAAGTTAGCTTCAAGTAATCAGAAACAATTATTTGTGACTATCGCATATCAGGTAAGTTATAGTATTTGATTGAATGTGAAGAACTAACCTCCAGCGCTCGGGAAACAATGTCAATCTCTGCATCAAAATTGGGCTTCTCCTTTGTAGTAACAACTTCAAGTACGGCACAGCATGACCTTTCAAGTTCATTACTGAATATTGGTAAGGCAATTGATCCATAAACCTCATGACCGATTGCGTGTTCCATTCTCAGATACTCAGCGTCACTGTAATATCTAACATTTGATGTCCATTCTGGAATTTTGGAATTGAAAACACGACCAGGAAGTCCAAGGAGAGAACCCAGTTTCCCTTCTGCAGAGAATGTATACCACCTCGATACTTCACGGTACCCAGTGAGCATTTGATCGAGCAAATACGGCTGATCGGTGGTGCTCAGGTAGAATTGGTTTCCATGCTTCATAGGCACCCAGACTTGAGCCAAAATACCTCCAGGTGAAGACTCTTTAAACAAGGACAATGCCCTCAGCATTCTCTCATCAAGGGACCAACCAAGCGGCCTAGAAATCAAACAACTATCCATGTCTTGGACGTTATTTGAATTCGAACCTGATTCATTTGTGTTGTCCGAAACATCAGATACCCCAAATTCAGTATCTGGCTGCTGAAACGTAACCTCATCTCCACAGGTAAAAGAATTCGCCATGGAAATGGAAGCTCCACCAAGTTCATTCAGAGGAAGGATTTCATGGCTCCCCCCTTCTGGGAAAGTCGAGCCCTCCATAGAAGGGCAAGTACTCGTTGGCGGAATCGACGAAATTCCACAAGAGGTGAAAACCGGATCCATTACTGCACAGTTGTTGCCCCATCCTGCATAAGTATCAAAACTCATCAGCTCTGAGATGCTGTGGAGCACATCTTCAGGACTAGGAATCCTCATTCCAGCGTCAGTAAAAGTCAGAGCATCGGCCTGAGTTCTGGAGGGCCCCCAATACCCCATCCCTTCCTCCTTGGATGGAAAGGGGTTTTCCATATTGAATAATCAACAACAATCTCAGAAATCAAATAGCAATTGATGCTATAATTCCATCCACCGACAGCGCCCAAAACAAATACTCCTAAGCTTACTATCCTTCTCCGCCATTACAAAGTTGAGAAAAACATCCATTTATATCCCCCCACAAGTTCTGATAGATTAACCCCACGCACATAACTACAAAACTATACTTCTCCAAAGATTCCCCAAATACCAACAAAATCGAGCTAAATCGAAGGACCAGGGTTCCACCGCAAAACACCACCCTTATCTTAAGTCAACAAAATTCCAGGAAAAGGGGAACTAAATTCAACATCGGAGTACCCAAAAAATGACGGATGCTACCGCAAATCACTGACGAAGGCAGCCAAAGGTGTGAGTTAAGAGTAATCGAAGAAGAAATAGCGCAGAGTCAGTTACCGTCTGAGAAATCACTGAAACCCTAGCAATCTCAGCAGAAATTCACAGAATTCCAGGAATTAGAGATAGGGATGGGGATTGAGAAAGAGAGAGAAGGACTTCTCCTCCATAAAAGGGGAAACCCAAAAAAACCCTAAAAGAGACATTGCGGCGTGGAATGTTTGGATCAGAGCGAATGTGTTGGAATTGGGTTACCTGAAATAGAAAGGTTTGTCGCCATTGAAGCTGCTTTTGGAGAAATTCTCAAGCTTTTCTTCTTTCAGGTGGAAACAGTGAAGAAAAGAACCTTTTTGAGCAATAGAAGCAAAGGATTTGCAGAGACTCAGAATCAGAGAGAGAAAATTGGGAAAGTAAATATTGGAAGCTTTTGCTTTCAGCTTTCTTTTCACCTCCTTTTTCTTGATCCATCCAAATTGTGGAATGCCCAATGCACCTTGAAATTACAACTTTGTCCTCGACTTACTTTTCTTTAATTTTTTTTTAAATATATTTTTTAACGTACATATTTATATTAATTCTACCGTCCCATTTCTTAATCATAACTTTATAGTGCATTCACGCTTTCTCCGCTCACAAGGCGTCGTCGTGCAGTAGGGTTCGAAACTTCATTCCGCTCATGTGACGTGCTATGTTTTCCATGATCTTCATTCATGAGTAAAGAGTCCTATACATACGTTTGTGGATCGTGATTTCACGCATTAATCCCTACAAATGTGTACAGTAGGAGGATTAGATACAGATAATCTATGAACTGTGAATAGTCCGTCCATTTTTTAAAAAATTTACGTCAATATATGGACAAAATCGTCTATCAACATCTTATAAATTATTTTCTTTTAACATTAATTTTGAAAGTTGACACATATTTTTGCTCGAGTAAGGATTTTTTTTAGTTTTTACCAAATTTAAAGACATTTTTTCAGTATTATTGAAAATTTTAAAAATTTAAATTTTTTTAGACAAAATAAAAGAGGGTAAAAGAGTAATTTAGCGAAGAGGAAATGTGGAGAGCAGCGTGGTGACACGTGGAAGTGGATTTCGATTAAGATTCAGTGAGAAAGGGATCTCATTCCAATTCCCAAACGGGAAACTCCCATTCCCATATCTGACGTCATAAAAAAACTTATTATTATTATTTTATTTTTTATAATAAAAAAATCCAAAATTATTTCTCTATAATTTTAGGTTTTTTTTTTTTTCAAATTTATAATAGTTTAGTCGCTAAATTAACCGTAATTATCATGATTTGAATAATTGTCCATGCATTTAATAAATATTAACATAAATTCATTTTAGCGGAAAAAAAAAGTATAAACGTCATGTTTGTGTCATATGAGTTGGGTTTAGATCTTCAACGGAATAAAAATTATTCGAATTTATCTCGTGAGTCCTGAAAAATTTAAACTTAGGTATTAACCATACAAGCGTGTTCGTTCAAACAATCAAGTTTATTTTTTTACTTTTCTAAAGGATAAGGAATTTTTCTATGGAATATTTTTGTTGGAGAGTGTTAAAAATTGGGCACGAGAGCAAAAGAATCTAATTCAATTCATTTAGTATGTTTTATTAAGAGGGGAGAAGAGAATTAACACTTCTCATATCACGTTAAGCCTCTCCAGCTCCGTTGGGTGTCGGAGCCTTGGAAGCGATATCGATTAACACATAGGGAGTGGTTGCCCGGGTTTCTCAATCCATCGGGATACTCACTGATTTTAAGGAGTTGCTTTGGCTGATTGGCAATGGTTCTTTAGATCGATCACATAGTCGTTTGGCTTCCACTACAGTTGACCTCTCTTGTTCTACTTTCAATAATACCATTAAATTTAGAAAAAAATTCATTAATGTCCTTCAAATTTTTTAAATACCCATAAAATTCTAAAAGCAGCGTTAATATTTTCTTTAAAAAAAAATAATTTTTTTTAATCATATTACATTACCATGTCATAATATGAATTATAAAGACGTGGTGTTCATAGTTTAAAAATCAATATTTTTGTAAATATTTTAAAAAGAGGAATCTAATATTTTATGATATTAAATACAAAAAATCATATTATATGAAAGATATTTTTAGACGGTCAAACACAATTCGGTTACTTAAATAATTAAAATTAATTAGTCATCCCAACCCACTCGAAATTAAAGCGGAAAAATCGAATTAGGTGTGGATCCATTTTGATTTTAAAATGTGGTAATCAAACCATTAAAAATAAAATACAATATAAATTGACTAAGAATATGATCTTATTGTATAATTTAGATTAGAAAATAATCAGTCAAGAAATATGGGAGTGGGGAAAGCTTGCAAACCGTGTGGACTATGGAATCAAACTATATAATAAAAAAAATATGAAGATATCAAACTATATAATAAAAAAAATAAATAAGATACCGATATTGGGCCTTCTATTGTATAGTTTTCGAACATGGGTTTCATTATCATTGGAATAGGAACTGGGACAATCACAGCCGTCCATCTTGATTCCTATATCAGATTTGATTCCCCACCAAGATTCCATGGTTTGGCTTGAAAATATTCTCGCAATTATTTTTAGTTTTTTTGTTAATAAATTATTTGAATTCGAATTCAACACTTTGGTCTCGACGTTTTCTTGTATCCAGTGCGACATGGTCTCGACATTTAACACGGAATGTCTCACTCACATGCATTCTATAAAAATGCACAGGAGATCACCTAATATAGAATGGTCGCTCTCATTTGGATGTGACCTCAGTTCATTCATGTACTCCTCTAGGTGTCACAACCTCTATTGTGGTCACGATTCGATTTTAAAAAATCCTATTTATAGCGGATTGTTAGGTTAGCAGGGTGCCCCAGTTTAGAGGATTGAAGGACTTAGCGCCATGTGGACTGGAGCATTTATAACAACTTTAGTCCACGGCCAACAGATATTGTCAACTTTTCCTTTCAGACTTCCCTCAATGTTTTAAAAACGCGTATTTTAGGGAGAAATTTCCACACCTTTATAAATAATGATCCACCTCGCATATGGAATCTTAACCTGACCATCGACATGTAATCTTACAATCTCCAACAAATATGGAATCTTACCATCCACCTCGCATGTCGAGATTGAGTTTGTTTGCTTGCATCTCTTCTAACTATATTCTCCAACTTTCTATTACGTCTCGTGTTAACTCTCATTTACCGTCCACTCATCTCGATCGAATTCATTTTCAAAAAACAACACAACTTCTTAACCCGACCATCGACAGTCACTTAGTCAACGAAAAAGGAGAAAAGCTCGGTCGGCGGCTCGAGGAAAAACAGCAGGCTGAGAGAAGCTGCCTTTTTTTTTTATTAATATTGAGAAAGCCAAAAGGTCGTTCGATTAATTAATCACAAAACATTCTTTTAAATATTTAATGCCAGCAAATTGATAAATTAAATTGTTATCATATTCATATAAAAACAAATTAAAAATAAATCCATTATAATTATAACTAATAATAAAATTATAACAAATCAATTATTGAAATTAAATTAACGAGTAATTATTATTTAGATTCGTGATTTATTTGCATAAATTAAAAATTATCATATAAATAAAAATACATAAGGTCTTATGTGTTATATTATAGATCAATTTTGGATACAATTTTCAAAATAATTTGATATACAAATATTAATCGACATATAAATGTATATATATATACATACATATATATATATATAATACAAGTTTCATGTGACCCATTATTCTATCCATAGACCATACATGCATTGTACATCAATAATTGATATGTTCTTTTAATTAAAAAAATGATATAATAAAAAACTTTTAAAAAGTAAATTCTGCAAATTGGTTTAAAAAACAATGATATTAATAAAAAAAGATTTAGTCTACTTTAATAAAAATTGACGACAAAAATCATTATTAAAAAATTAAAAATCCACTGAGTTTTAAATTAAAAAAAAAAAAAAACATATATATATAATTTTGAATTTTTTTAAAAGTTTTAAAAATACTCTTAAATTTAAATTTTTTTAAAACTTTTTATTTATTTATTTATTCTATAAAAGTTTAAGGTATTATTGGTAATTTTTGAAAATTTAAGAGTAAAGTTGGAGAGTATTTTTTAAATAAATTATTAATATTTTTTTTATTAATGTTGAATTTTTATTTTTTAAAATTAATGTAGCATAATTAAAAAAAGAAAAGAAAAGAAAAAAAAGGTAAAGAAAGAGGCAAAATTGGGGGGTAGAATAGACATTTCACAAGGGAGAGAGAATCCTTTTGAGCAAGGAAGATAAAATTCCATAATGCAAAAATTGTAAATATCTCAAATAACTATTAAAAACGAACATAAAATGACAAATAATAAAAGTAAGAAATAAAGAAAAAAAGAAGAAAAAAAAAAGAAAAAAAAGAAAAAAAAGGGGATTTCTTCTTTTTAAAATATTTAAAAATGGTTGTAAATTAATTTTAGAAGTTGAAATTAAAAAAATAAAAAAAAGAAGAAAAAGACAGAGAAAAAAGGAAGAAAGAAGAAATAAAGAAGAAAAAGGAAGTTAAAAAAGATGTAACGTTAGCTTACGAATATGTTGACACCTTCCGACGTCAAACCTCCAAACCCTCTCTCGAATTGCTCTCTCTTCTCTTCAACATCCTTTAGTTTTGTTTAGCTTACTTGAGCTCCCTTCAGTCTTATTCCCTACAAATCTTTCACATTTGTTTCCCTTCTTTTTGTTTTTTGTTTCTTCATTGATTGCTTCATCTATCTTCAATTTTGGTTACTGTTTGTTTTTTTTATGTTTGTTTTTTGGGCTTCTTTCTTCTGGGTTCATTGATTTTGGTTGAAGGAATCTGAATTGGCGGGAGCCAACGTTCAATTATGTGGTTTTAGGAGGTGGGTTTTGGTTGGATTTGGATTTGGGATTTGGGATTGGAAAAGGTTTCGAAATTGTTGGGTGTTTTGATGGCTAACCCATCTGGGAACCATCACGAAGCGGGCCAACCATCGTCTTCCTTTGATGGAGGGAACCCCAGCAATGGTAATTCGACTCCTGTGCCGGTGGCGGATAATTCGAGCTCGGCTATTGCTATGAAGCACAACCCAGGTATCTCGACGGATTGGACATCTGATGAGCAGGTCACACTGGAAGAAGGGCTTAAGAAGTGAGTACTTTCCCCCCCTTGTTTTGAGCTTCTTGCTTTTACTGATTTTTTCCTTTTAAGTTCAAGCTCTTTTTCATTGTTAAATGGTTAGATTACGAGATTGGTTCCTCGGAGTTGTGTTTAATAAGGCCCTTATTGATTTGTGGTTCGGACTTGAGGAACAATTTGTACTCGTTTTTCCCTTGGCATACTGGCTACGTCTATGGACTGAACTGATTTTTATTGAGTTTTGGGAATATATATGTTAATGTAGTTTGTTTCGAATGGGCTTATTGGTAGTTAAACATTTGTGAATTTATGTGGAATTTGCTCGTTTGAAGTATGAACTCTGAACTAATAGCAGCTCCCTGTTATCTGGATCTCACCACATGGCATTTGATAGTAGTTCTGTCTGTTGCTTTTATCAACATTTTCAACTGCACAAAGATTGTGAGATCCCACATCAGTTGGGGAGGAGAACGAAACGCCCTTTATAAGGGTGTGGAAACCTCTCCCTAGCCGGTGCGTTTTAAAAACCTTGAGGAAAAGCCCAAAGAGGACAATATTTGCTAGTGGTGTGCTTGAGCCGTTACAAATGGTATCAGAGCCAGACACTGGGCGATGTGCTAATGAGGAGGCTGGTAGACACAAGGCAGTGTGCCAGTAAGGACGTTGGGCCTCAAAGGGGGGTGGATTTGGTGGGGGTCCCACATTGATTGGAGAAAGGAACGAGTGCTGGCAAGGATGTTGGGCCTTGAAGATGGGTGGATCGTGAGATCCCACATCGGTTGGGGAGGAGAACGAAACGCCCTTTATAAGGGTGTGGAAACCTCTCCCTAGCAGGCACGTTTTAAAAAACCTTGAGGGAAAGCCTAAAGAGGACAATATTTGCTAGCGGTGTGCTTGAGCTGTTACAAATGGTATCGGAGCCAGACACCGGGCGATGTGCCAATGAGGAGGCTGTTCTCCGAAGGGGGTAGACACAAGACGGTGTGCCAGTAAGGACGTTGGGCCCCGAAGGGGGGTGGATTTGGTGGGGGTCCCACATTGATTGGAGAAGGGAATGAGTGCTAGCGAGGACGCTAGGCTCTGAAGGAGGGTGGATTGTGAGATCCCCACATCGTTTGGGGAGGAGAACGAAACGCCCTTTGTAAGGGTGTGGAAACCTCTCCCTAGCAGGCGCGTTTTAAAAACCTTGAAGGAAAGTCCGAAAGGGAAAACCCAAAGAGGACAATATCTGCTAGCGGTGGGTTTGGGCCGTTACAAAGATGTTCAAGTTCTTGTTGAGGGAAGGTCTTTGTTCTTAATGCGAGGGCCAAAGGTGTAGGATTTAAAACTAAGTTCTAAATTATTGGAATAAGGAATCCATATATGTAGGACAAGGCTTGGATGCTTAACATAAAGAGCTTTATTTGACATACGATTGTAAAGCGTTGATGAGTGCAGAAACGATACCTTTTACTCTTTTTTCTTAAACGTGTCACAATGTGATTGGTTTGGAAGTTAAAAGATATCCATGTCAACATTTCAAAGGCCTTACTAATTCTCTCATCCAAAAGGAAACAAACTTACTCATTCACTGCCAAATGCAAGCATATGGAAGATGTTCTAAGCGTTGGTTATTGCGAAAGGAAGCAAGTTCAAAGTTCGGGAAGATTCATCGGTGCTAAACACTCCTTTTTCGTGTCATTTACCCAAGTCTTTGTGCAGTAGATTGCTCTAAAGATAGATCAGTGACAGTGATGTAGGATTCTATGTGCTTAGATCAGAATGTTGACTTGAGAAGAAACTTATAGGACAGGAAATTTGATGAATGGCTGCTTCTTAATGAAATATTGGAATATGGCTCCTAATCACCTTGAATATCAGTTAATTAGGAACTTGAACTTGACCTCGTGGTTTAGATAGGCCATGAATATAATAAAGGGTTTAGAGGGAATGAGTTCAAGCTATGGTGACGACCAACCTAGTTTAATATCTTACGAATGCAGTAGAGTTAGATGGTTGTCCGGCGACAGTAATCATGGTGCATGTAAGCTAGCTCAATCAAACACACAAATATTTAAAAAAAAAAAAAAAACTTGTAGAGAAAACTGGCAGAATGAGCTCTAATGAACGTATACGAAATTTTACGTCTAAGGCTCTATTTGAACTTGTAATGTTAAAAGCCCTTCTTATGAATCGTTGTATGACTTAGAGGATGTTTTTTTATCATACCCCTCAGACGTTTTTCGATTGTTAAAAGCCGTTCTCAAGTTATTGTCTAGATTGTCAGAATGGTTAGACGTTCTAAGCAAATGAACTTGTAACTGCAGGAAAACGTTTTAGACACCAGACTTCGAAGATGAAGCCGCATCTTGGCTAAAACTCTATCTTGGAGGCTTCTTCTTTCCTTTTGTTTTTCCATCTTCCTTTCTTCTTCGTGTTCTAATGTTTCTTTAAGGGGACATAACGTCGTACTTGAACTGCCGTACATAGTTTTATTATTATTATTGTCCTATTCCCTTTCACCTTACTAATTTTTTTAAAAGAGTATTCTAGGTGTTCCACTTGTTTTAGTAAATTATCTTGGTTTGGTTTATATGACACAGATATGCTGCAGAGTCTAGTGTTATTAGGTATGCAAAGATTGCAATGCAGCTACCAAATAAGACCGTACGAGATGTTGCTTTGCGTTGCAGATGGATGAATGTCGGTTCTTTTTCTCAGTTCTTGCCTTTATCAACATATAAATTATTTACAAGATTTCTGTTACTTCACTTGCAATCATGCATACCATTAGCACGGTAATTGGTACGATTTTCTCCTTGGATGCATCTTTGCTTGAAGCTCCATGAAGTTCTTGTTTCCAATAGGTTTTGCTGAACAAAGTAGGTTTAAATACATATATGTATTCTTATTGTATGTCTTTGAATGATCTGAATGTTAATGCATCCTCATGATTATCCCCATTCTGACAATTATGGATTAAAAAAGGTAATAACGATTTTATAATCATGTTTCTCTCTTTTTTTTTTTTTTGAACCCAAAAGAAAAGAATAATTTGTACCTGATACTTGCAAGTTGTTTACCAATCGAAGCTAGATTTTTTTTAATCAACTTTTTTTTTATATGGTTCCTTGTGGTCGGTCTATTTGAATATGATATCTAATGTGAGATCCAACATTGGTAGGGGAGGAGAACGAAACACACTTTATAAGGGTGTGGAAACCTCTCTCTAGCAGATGCGTTTTAAAAACCTTGAGGGAAAGCTTGAAAGGGAAAGCCCATAGAGGACAATATTTGTTAGGGGTGGGCTTGGGCCGTTACAAATGGTATCAGAGGCAGACTCCGGGCGATATGCCAATGAGGAGGCTATTCCCTGAAGGGGGATAGACACGAGGCAGTGTGCCAGTAAGGATGCTGGCCCCCGAAAGGGGTGGATTTGGTGGGGGTCCCACATCAATTGGAGAAAGGTACGTGTGCCAACGAGGATGCTGGGCCCTGAAGGGGGTGGATTGTGAGATCCCACATTGGTTGGGGAGGAGAACGAAACACTCTTTATAAGGGCGTGGAAACCTCTCCCTAGCAGATGTGTTTTAAAAACCTTGAGGGAAAGCCCAAAGAGGACAATATCTGCTAGCGGTGGGCTTGGGCCGTTACAAATGGTATCAGAGCCAGACACCAGGCGATATGCCAATGAGGAGGCTGTTCCTTGAAGGGGAGTAGACACGAGGGCAGTGTGCCAGTAAGGACGCTGGGCCCCGATGGAGATCCCACATCGATTGGAGAAAGGTACGAGTACCAGCGAGGACGCTAGGCCCTTAAGGGGGGTGGATTGTGAGATCCCACGTTGGTTGGGGAGCAGAACTAAACACCCTTTATAAGGGTGTGGAAACCTCTCCTTAGCAGCGCGTTTTAAGCTTGGACTGTTACATTAACGCACTCTATCATCATCTACGGACATCTTTAAACTTCTATATCATCATTTTCAGGTTCAATTTTATTTATACTCTCACTGTTTCTGTTTTACTTATTTTGGTCAGAAAAAGGAAAATAGCAAGAGAAGGAAGGAAGAACACAATTTATCAAGAAAAAATAAAGATAAAAAGGTATCTTGTAAATTATTGGTGCATTATTTGTGCTCTCTCTGTCTCTTTGGTTCACTTTTTCGCTTTCTTTTTATTAGTTTATTGTTCGTTTGTTACGTGCAGCATATGCATTAGTTAAACTTGTTAAAGTACCTAATAAATGTTGTCTAAGACACCGATTACCATCTTGAAGGTCAATGATTCTTCCCCTACCCTTACAATTGTTCTTCATTGCTTTATTTCGTTTCTTGTACTTTCGGGGAATCCCTCGCCTTTTTGGTTTGGTCGTTTCTTCTTTTCACTCCCTACGGGAGTTCGTTTCCTTGAACATTTTCTTTCTTTTCATATATCACTTTGTTTCTAGCCATGCACATACATAACATCTTATTTTTCCATTAAAGCATCCTCGTTGTGTTCGTGTTTCGGTGTTGGGTTTTTAGTGAATGAAACATCGCTATATCTGTGCCTCGAAGGGCCAGGATACGTGATGTAATCCAACGACTGCCACCAACTGCATGAGGAACTAGTCCATTTCATTAGCACCCACTTAAGTTAGCCATTTCTTCCAGCATGCTCATAGAGATGGGGAATGATATTTAATTTGTTGTAGGAAAGAGTATCGGACCCTTCAATGAAGTCAGCACAGGTTGCAGCAAGGCCTAATGTGCCTCCTTATGGAATGCCTATGATTCCTATGGACAATGATGATGGCGTTTCATTTAAAGGTTTTGTTTCTTTACTCTTCCTTCACTACTACGTGCAGCTCCCACTTTTCGTTATCTTATCGAAAGATCGGGTAGCAAATTTCATGATCTGTCGTTAATATGCATTAGGTAATTTTCTTAAAAGAAAAGAATAGACTTGCAGTTGGTAAATCCTAGAATAGTTATTCAACTGCCATGCTTGTTCTCCTGTATAGCTTAACTAACTCATCACGAAGTGTGATTGTGTTTCTGTGAGATCCCACATCGGTTGGGGAAGAGAACGAAACACCCTTTATAAGGGTGTGGAAGCCTCTCCCTAGCATACGTGTTTTAAAAACCTTGAGGGAAAGTCCGAAAGGGAAAACCTAAAGAGGACAATATCTGCTAGTGGTGGGCTTGAGCTGTGACTTCGGTTCCTGTTGGAGAAGTAGGATTAGGACATGTATCTCATCCACAAAATTTCAGTTTATCTATGGTAAAAAGAACAAAAGAAGATATATGAATGAGATTACTAGGATCGGAAGATCTATCTGTAGGCTTCGGAGCCCCGGAGAAGTATTTCAAAGGTGTAGATGGGGAATGATTCAAGTATTCTGTTTTGGCATGATCTTTGGCGTGGTGATGCTAGTTTCCCTCGATTATTCGGTATTTCTTCATTTCCCGATGATCCAATTTTAAGTTTTCGGGTTCTTCTCAGTCTTGCTCGGAAAATTATTTTTAGAAGGCTTTTAAAAGATAAGGAGACGAATGATTTCAACCGACGACTGGCAGTGTTACCCCGACTCTAGTGGGAAATTTTGAAGGTTCAAGGAGATGGAGTGTTTGGAGGCTTGGGGTGTATTTTCTGTCAAATCTCTCTCTAGCAAACGGGTTATTTTGTCTCCATTGTCAAACAATTTGTTCTTTTACTTGTGAAAGTAAAAAAGTCCAAAAAGAATCAACGTTCGTTCTTGGATTTTGCTTAATAGCTGCCTTAACACCGTTGTCGACATGATCATCATGTTATACTTCAAAAGGCGGATGACTCACCCTAATACAAGCCACATTATCCAACCTCCTCACTTACTACATGTCTCTATTTGAAATGCCTCAAAAAGTGGCCGTAGATATAGAAAGATTATTCAGAAACTACTTGTGGAAAGATGACCCGCACCTTGACCGATGGAATATTATAAACCTCCCAATAGAAAAGGGAGGCCTTGGTCTTCTCTCGATAAAGAAGAAGAACAAAACTCTTCTTGCCAAATGGATATGGAGATATCATCACGAAGAAAAGGCCTTGTGGAGAAATCTTACGAAGGCTAAATATACTCCTACATCAAACAAAAATCAACCCCTCCATCTTCTACAAAAGGACCCTGGAAGTACATAAAGAAACATCAAACCCTCATTACCAATCGAACTTGCCATAGGGTGGGTGATGGAGAAAGCACATAATTCCGGACCGACCCATGGTTTGAAAACACCATGCTAGCCCTGAGGTATCCACTTTTGTACAGACTCTCTCATAATAAAAAAGCCACGATCAAAGAAACGTGGAATCTTCTCAACAAATTATGGGACCTCAAGTTCGGTAGGAATTTAAAGGATAATGAAGCAATAGAATGGGTCGAATTAAGCCTTGACCTTGCCCATATGGTATTGTGAAACAAATCAGACTCACTGACTAGCCTCCTCAGCACTGATGGGGTCTTTTCTACAAAATCCTTGATGATGAACATGGAGGAAACAGTAGAAGCAATAAATCCCACGTTACCAAAAACAACATGGAAAGGACATTAGCCTAAAAAGGTGATGCAATGCACATACGAATCACAAAGCCAAGTATTCATGCAATGCACATACGCTCAAAATCTCTAGACAAAGATTCTTAATATGTTCGGATGACATCTCACATTAAAGAATCTATTGGATATAGCCTTAACGTACCACCCTCTCAAGAATGCAAAAACCCTACTATGAAAAAACTTCTTTATGACTTTTTTTTTTTTTTTTTTGAAGGCGTGTTCGAAAGAGGAACATGTTTTTTCGTTCCTTGGCCACTTAATGTATATTGTGCATAACATTTGCATTTGATTATTGTGATGGTTTCAGCTATTGGTGGTACAACTGGAGATCTTCTTGAACAGAATGCACATGCCATGAATCAAATTTCTTCTAACCTTGCATCTTTTCAGGTAAACAACTTGGCTGTCTGGATATTGTTTTAGCATTTTTATAACCATTTGCACTCACTGTTGGTTATGAGTCCGAATTACAATGGAGACTTCTTTTTTCATTTTTTCGCGTCGTCTAATAATTGTGATACCGCTAGTAGATATTGTCCTCTTTGGGCTTCTCCTCAAAGTTTTTAAAACGCATCTACTAGGGAGAGGTTTTCACATTTTTATAAAGAATGTTTCGTTTTCCTCTCGAACCGATGTGAGATCTCACAATCCACCCTCCTTCGGATCTAATGTCTTTGTTGGCACTCGTTCTCTTCTCCAATTGGTGTGGGACTCCCCAATCCACCCTCCTTTAGGGCTCAGCATCTTTGTTGGCACACCGCCTCGTGTCCATCCCCCTTCGGAGCACATCCTCTTCGTTGGCACATCGTCCGGTGTAGGACTCTGATACCATTTGTAACGACTCTAGGTAAGTAGAAATTTAAGGTCGCTTCTACAAGTCCCGAGAAACTTCTCACATCCCGTGTTCCCCTGGGGGGGCTGTGGATATTTGTTTGAATCTGTGAGCACTGATTCTCTTCTTCTGTAGAAGTTCTTGCCTTTTTATTTTTAAAAATCAATTAATGGCCTTTACCAAGCCTTTCATTTGACTGGTTCTATGCATATATTTGTAATATGAACATATATAGCTGTCCATTCCAGCATGTTCTTTCTAAAACTGAAACATGGAATGTGGCTATAGCTGGAAATATTTGATCATTTGATAATGGGAATGTTGATGTTCTGATTTTTGTATGAATTGTTGCCAGACGCCATAATGTTTTTTTTATAGGATTAGACAACATAGTATAATGTTTGAACTAATAATGTTTTGTTTTATGTAGATACAAGATAATATCGGTCTCTTCTGCCAAACGCGGGATAACATCCTCAAAATAATGAGCGAGTAAGTAACATTTCATTCCTCCCGTCGTTAGAGTAATGCTCCCCTTCTTGAACATTCTTGCTGTAATGGTCTAAACTCATCGCTAGCAAATATTGTTCTCTTTCGGCTTTCCCTTTCAGACTTCTCTTCAAGGTTTTTTAAAATGCGTTTGCTAGTGAGTTGTTTTCATACCCTTATAAAGAATGTTTCGTTTTCCTTCCCAACCGATGTGGAATCTCACAATCCACTTCCCTTCAGGGCTCAGCGTCCTCGCTGGCACTCGTTCCCTTCTCCAATCGATGTGGGACTTGGGGCCAGCGTCCTTGCTGGCACACCGCCTCATGTCCACCCCCCTTTGGGGCCAGCATTCTTGCTGGCATACCGCCTCGTGTCCACCCCTTTCAGGGCTCATTCTCCTTGCTAGCACATTGTCAAGTGTTTGGCTTTGATACCAATGAACGATCCAAGTCCACTGCTAGCAGATATTGTCCTCTTTTAGTTTTCTCTTTCGGGTTTCCCCTCAAGGTTTTTAAAACGCATCTACGAGGGAGGGGTTTCCACACCCTTAGAAAGGATACTCCATTCCCCTCTCCAACCGACGCGGGATCTCACAATTCACCCCATTCGGGGTCCATTGTCCACGCTGGCACTCGTTCCCTTTTCCAATCGACGTGGGACCCCCCAATCCACCCTCTTTCGGAACCCAGCGTCTTTGTTGGCACACCTCCTCATGTCCACCCCCTTTCAGAGCTCAGCCTCCTCGCTGACACATCGCTTGGTATCTAGCTCTGATACCATTCAAATGGCTCAAGCCCACCGCTATCCACTTTGAGCTTTCCCTTTCGAGATTTCCCTCAAAGTTTTTAAAACGCATCTGCTAGAGAAAGATTTTCACATCCTTATAAAGAATCCTTCATTCCCCTCTCCAACCAATGTGGTATCTCACACGTTGTAATTCGTGAGTAAAAGGTCGGCTTTAGCGATTAAGACCAATCAATTTGGTTTCTTGTTTTCATAAATTAGTTTCGTGGCATAGCTTGCTCGAATCGTCCCGTTACTAATTCCTCTAGCTCTTGGTAAGATCAACCCTTTGATTGAAGCAGAATTTTCCAGAAAAAAATTGCTCTTGAACTTACCTTCAATCTTCATGGTTGCAGCTTAAACGAAATGCCGGATGTATTGAAGCAGATGCCGCCTCTTCCGGTGAAGGTGAACGACGAGTTAGCGAACACGATCCTTCCACCGACCGCTCATTCCATGCAATGATGAAAGATGTTCAACAAAAACTGGTTCAGCAGCTACAGATCCTCCCTTTCAAATCACTTCCTCCTTCAGAATTTTCTGCATATCATCAAATTTTTTTTGTTGTTGCTTTAGCATATATGGATTCATACATTAGCGTAGATTGTAACTTAGATGCTGTGTAATAATTAGGAATGTTTTTTCTTTCTAATGGTCTGGGAAATGGAAAGTAATAAACAATGGTTGATTATTTGTATGTCGTCTTTCCCTCCTTTCGCTTTCGCTGCCTTGCTTCGTGTCGAAGTTTACTTATACTTTATCACGATAGGAAGGCGTTTTGTTTATTCATGAATAAAGATGTCTACAGGACGGGCAGGGATCGAGAAACTTTCCCCATTTGGGTCTCCACTTCCTCTTTCATTTCCCGTTTTTGTGAATTTTTCCATTTATTTGTACGAGAATTCATTTATTTTTTCATTATTTTTTTATTTTTTTAAAATTAATTCTTCCAAATTTGAAGATATATCTTTTTAATTAAATATTATAACAGTCGTTTATACAATTTTTTAAATATAATTTTAATTTAAATATTATAATCCTAGTATCTGTTATATACATATAATAATGTTTATAATTAACTCCAAAGTTTATTGTTTTGATTTTCAATTTCTCAAAATTTGGGTTGGAAATAAAATGATGGCTCAATTATATATATATATATATAACTTATTTATTATATTTATAATAGAAATATATATTTTTTATATTTTATTTTTTTTATGTGTATAATTAGGGTTGAGGAGAATACCATCTCCGTCCTTGGCCTCGTCTATCTAACAAGTAAAAATCTCACTCAACTCACTTCTCCAGTCTCCGTTTAAACGGAGATTTCCATACTGTTCAAGACGGGTCTCCACTGAGTAAATGAACATCTTTATTCATGAATGTTAGAGCAAAGTCATGCGTTACTCGAAAACGAGACAGTCCCTTGTAAGGAAATCCATAAAATATCATCGAAAGTTTCAGTCAAATGAGATGCTAATAAATTATAACTTTAAGTGGTTAAGATATATATGATTTAAGATTTGAATCATTTACCTAAAAAATTTATTTTATTAAAAATATATATATATATTATTTTTATTGTTTGGATGAGAATTAATAGGGTATATCTATTATTAGCATGAGAATGAAGAATTAATTTTTAACCACAAAAAAGAAAAAAGAAAAAAAGAAAAAAAAAAGAAAAATCCGAAATTAGGATGTTGGTTCACATATAAGTACCACCGATCTGCTTCATTCTTCCTCAGGCAATCAGCAAACAACAATCTAAGGCTTCTTCGGTTCCATCACTCTCCTCTCAATCAGAAGTGAGTTTCCCGCCGTAGAAACCCTAATTCATCCGCATCCGCATCCGCCGTGGAAATGAAGAACATTGCCTGCGCTGCCCTCTTCGCCGCCGCTGCAGTCACTGCAGTCGTGGCCTCCGATGAGTCTCACTCTCCCGCTGCCGCTCCTGGGCCGAGCAGCGCCGCCTCCGCCGCTCTTCCCGCCCTTGGATCGCTTATCGGTGCGTCGCTTGTTTCCTTCGTCGCCTACGTATTGAACTGAAGCCCCGCCAGAGGGGGAGATTCTATAATTCGATTTGATTTTTTTATTTTGTTTCGGATTTCCGTGGACGATGTGATGCTACTCAAATTTCAAAATTAATAAAGAATTTGGATTTATTATTATATTACAAATAACCTCTTTTATTTTAATTGCTTCATAAATAATTTTGAGTAAAAATTCATTAAATATTTTATAATTGGTATTATTGTTATTATTATTGTTAATGCATAGAAATCACCCAAAATCGGGTAGGACTCGAAGATTTTGTAAGATGATTAGAGACGTTGTAAACTAAGGTAAAGTACATTTTAATATATATTTTTTGAATAAAGTAAACTTTCTACTTCTAAGACTTTGTGTATGATCGCATTTAAGTAATTAGTACTATTTGGCTTACTTTTCCAAATACATGAAGTTATTACTTAGTCTTCCTATTTAATTTTTAATTAATTATTATAGAGGTAGGTATGTAACTCGGTCTCACTTATTATACAGACTCTCCACAATGGTATGATATTATAGACTCTCCACAATGGTATGATATTGTCCACTTTGAGCATAGTATTCCTTGATCATGATCATGATCATTCGAGATTGCTTAACAATTATTTTTATTGATGTGAGACGTTTAAGGCATTCTTTTCTTAAAAATGTTTAATTAGGGAAACTTTTGAAATACTTTTAATAATTCAAAAATATTTTTGATAAAAGTTTCTATAAAATAAAATAAAATAAATTAATTTTTTTTAATATTTTAAACCTTTGAAAAGGTATTTATGACACAACTTGCAATAATTTTATTAATTTAATCTTAGTTTTTGTAGTTAAGAAAAACGTATTATTTAAGGGTTTTTTTTTTTATAATACTAATTTATATTATATTGATAGAGATATTTATGACATTTATTTTAAACGTTTCTTTCTTTATTTCTTTTGAATTTTTCCACTATTTTATTTTTTTATTTTTGGTCCACTCTCTTGGTAACATTATTAAGCAATCTCGAACCCTAAACCCTAAAATATTTCAACCTTTTCACACACATCGAAGAATGTTCAAGCAAACCCATATTCCACACCGAAGAACCCGCTTCAAATGGATCTCTCGACATTTCATACGACATTGTCATGTTACCTATTTCTTGCTTTTTAAGAGAGAAGATTATCCCCTGAAACCAACACGAGTCATTTCAACATATTTTGTCCTTACTCACATGCATCCTGAAAAAATTCCTAGGAAATCACCCAACATAGAATTGTTTCAAATAAAACACGCTTAACTATGAAGTTCCTAGGTAGTGTATGTGGTATCAATTCATTAATATATCTTTACTTTACTCGGGTGTCACCTGTTTTAAAATTATCTTTATGGCATCATTGTAAGGTACAGTGACATTTCTTCCCAAACGAAAGTGACCCATATGATGAAGTTACATACTTTCATATATATTTTTTTTTCTTTTTAAATAAACAAATAATTCGTGTTCTATGTCACAAAGGACGTAGGAGAATGTCGGAATCATCAAGTACCGAACCCAGATTTCGAATCCTGGGTAAAAACGTAATCAATCTAATTATTTACGTAGTCGTTTCTCGAGTATTTAATTTAATTTTTTATATTATTCCTAATTTTGACAATAATTTAAGTAATGTAAAAAGGGAAGCATTTTTTTGTTGCCATCCATTTAAGACTTCATAGAAAGATAGATGTCTAGAAATTCAGAGTTTTTGACTTTTTCTCCAAATTTGCTGCTTTAATTTCGTTGAAAATTCAAGAAAAATATTTAAATATTTAAAAAATCATTTTGGTCCTATTTTTAAATTTATTTCATTTTAAATAATAATAATTATTATTATTTAATCAACTTTGATAAAAAAAATATATATATATATATATATAAATTCATCCACTTTTTAAATTATATATAATATCTCTAAATTTTTAATTTTTAATTAATTTATTAAACGTATAATAATATTACAGGTAAAAATCATTTAAAAATCTAAAATTTAAAATTTTATTAAATATAAAATAAAATTAAAAGTTAATCAATTAAAAATTTTAAAAATTAAAAAAAATTCTAAAAAAAGTTTCCACCGTATGGAAAGATGCAAGGAAGAAACACCATCACCAACCCCTTCATTTACTTTAATGGAAGAATGACTTCTTTGACTGCAATTTCTAGAGAGAGAAAGAGAGAGATTAATGATTTTGGTCAAATGAATTTTCAGACAAAACCCATTTGAAAACATCAGTGATTATTTTACATAACACAAACCATTTTGGATTAAGTTGAAGAACACCAACTTTCTCTCTCTAGAATCATCGTCATCATCATCATCATCAATGGTTTCGTTGAGTACCACTTTAATGGAGTTGATATCAAAATGTTCTAAGCCTAAGCCTACTTTTTTTGAATAAATAAATAAATAAACCAATCCCTCTGTTTCAGCTTCGCAGACCAATTTCCGATTGGCCTCTGTTTTTTCTTCTGTTCTAAAAGGTTGAAGATGTTCATATTAATGCGAAAATTTTGGAGGGATTTGATTTCTTACCAGTTTGTGTCTCCTTTGTTGTGAATTTGGGCGAACCCAGAATGGGATCAAGAAATGGAGGTGAAGTGATGGGAATTGCTCTGTTTTTGTTGTTGGTGAGTTGGGGATGGATTTTCCCGGAAACTGTGGGACAGAAAATTTCGTCTTCTACCTCTCTGCTGCTGCTACAAGATGATGATGATGGTGAGGATGAAAGTTGATGTTTTTAGTTATGGAAAGAGATGGGTTTCATGGATGAGTTTTGCAGGGAGAGATTTGGTGCACAGAAATGATGGGTTTGAAGCAATCATGGAAGAAGATGATACTGTTAGAGATGATCCTTTGAACCATTTCAACAAGTATAGAGGTGGATATAATATCACCAACAAACACTATTGGAGTGTAAGTTTTCTCTCCCGTTCATTGCTTCGATTCTGTTCGGTTTTGTATTTCATTAATTAGTACAAACTTGGAATCTGTAATGGTGCAAGATATTGTTTGCTTTGACACGTTGAAAACACGTTTGTGAGGAAGAGGTTTCCACACTCTTGTAAGAAATGTTTTGTTCTCCTCTTCAACCGACGTGGGATCTCACAATCCACTCCCCTCCGGTTGGAGAGGAGAATGAAACATTTCTTATAAGGGTGTGAAAATTTCCCACTAGCAGACATGTTTTAAAAATCGTGAGGTTGACAACGATACTAGGATACGTATCTGGCCAAAATAGACAATATTTGCTAACGATGGGGTCAGACTGTTACAAATGGTATCAGAGCTAGACATTAGGCGGTGTGCTAGCAAAGATGCTGGCTCTTGTGGATTGTGAGACCCCATGTCAGTTGGAGGGAAATCTCTTCTTAGCAAACATGTTTTAAAACCGTGAGGTTGACGGCTATAAGTAACAGCCAAAGCAAACAATATTTGCTAGCGATAGACTTGGGCTATTACAAATGGTATCAAAGCCAGACACCGGGTGGTGTGCCAGCGAGAACACTGGGCTCCTAAGGGGGTGGATTTTGAGATCCCACATTAATTGGAAAGAGAAACGAATAATTTCTTATCAGGGTGTGGAGACACGTTTTAAAAACTGTGAGGCTGACGGCGATATGCAAC